AATTTTGAAAATTAAAATATATTTGTTGTAACACTTACAATCGTTTTAAGTTAGTAAAATTCTTGAAGTATCCTACTCCTACATCGTCCAGAATGTTTTTACTGACGTCCCTAAAAAAACAAACAAAGGACAATAAAAAATGACAAATATTTACAAATAGTAATTCAATTTTCAGACTTCTCACTTACAAATTTACTATTTGAGGTGCTAGTAATGACAGATCAAGCTTATGAAGAGTGTCAATCTTTTCAGAACAGCGCACTTTAAAGAATGGTCCATTTTTAACTTTGGTGCAGTTGCAGAAGGATGGACAGCCATCCAGCTGCAACTGCAACTGTGATGTCACACTCAAAAGTCCTACAAGCACCAGAATGAGAGCAGCTGCAGATGTCAGTTTCATTGTGCCAATAAAGATAAGAATCTCGACCACATTTCTAGAAGTTCCTATAAACAAAATAGAAGAAGACAGGGTGTAAATTGAAAATGTAAAGGGAAAAAAAAAACATCATTTGAATCTAATATTAACAACTAGGAAGCATTTTAATCTCCTGTGCAGAATGCACTGTACTTGTGGTTGCAGGAGTTCAAAGACGATAAAAGGGGGACTCTAAATTCAAAAATTATAGTCTAGGCCAGCACAAACAGACACAATGTATACAAACAAAAACACAGGTGTTGAGGTTAAGTAGCCCTTTGTGTCAACCAAAATGGGTGCACTACGGCTCGCTGGACGAACCAACCCGTCCTTAACGTTAGAGTGAAGCCACGACTGTAGAGTGCAAAACAAGTGTACCTTAGCGCTCGTGAAGATATAGATTTTCTCCGGGTTTTAGACAATTTTTCCAAGCTTGCTAATTTCAACCGAGCCGCAAGCGTCACAAAACAGTAAGTGGGACGTCGCATAACATTCACATTCACATTCGTCTGCACGCACGGTACGTCGGCCGGTCAGCCGACAGCGAGACTACCTGTAGGCTACTTCCAACGATGAGAAATATACGTGGCACACCACTTACTGCATGCCGAAGGTGTGTGCACCGGAAGACTGAATACGGCCACACGAGAGTGTGAATGTCGCTCACTTGTAGGTGTGTGAACATCATTCGTACACATGGAGGCAGAAGTGTGTGGATTTTCAAGGGAAAATTCAAACATTTGTTTACTCAAGCATTCACACACCCTTCCAGTCACGAGATGACAGCTACCGTCTCTCCGAGCCTCCACTTCTGCCGCCTGACTGGAGGGGGACGGCTCCTTCAGTGTGGGATCGCCGTGGCCTGGTGGATACCGTATCTGACCGACACGCTGAGGTTCGTGTGTTCGACTCTGCACCGCAGCGTCCGATCCGGATAGTTTTGCTTTAGCCCTCTCTTTCGGTAGACATAAATTTGACGTATTCTTGGTAGTAAACCTGTACACCTTTACTACCTTACAAACGTCAAAACTACAGCAGTTCAACGACAAATAGGTTTTCCGTGTCTCTGCCGTTATTTTGACGTATTTTTGACTTTTTTCGGTCTACGTTCAGTGTCAACTTGCTGTTGGAAAACGGCAAAAATACGTCATGTTTACAGACTTGCTTTCCACTCGGGCACTTGCAGGTGTGTGAATATCCATTCGCACACTTAGGGACGTAAACACTGTCATCGACAATGCGATGATCACTACAAAAATTGAGCCATAACCCCAAAAAATTTGATAAAAGTATCAAATTATTTTGATAAAATCATCACAAAAAATAAAGAATAACTTGTTATTACAGTTTTTGTAATGATTTTGCAATGTTATCGCATCCTGGATGCGAAGTTATGGCAAATTTTTGTAGTGATCATCGCATTGTCGATGACAGTG